CTATCCTGTCCCTCCTGTACAGCCTATAGCCCTCAACGTTCACTGCCCAGCTTTAATAAAGCTGCGTCTATGTCCGAATCAATTTGGAGAAATTAAAGGGTCCTCCGATTTGATTTGGCCACTGAATCGGGCCAATTCTCTGCCATATCAAATCAGGGACTGAAGTTTCACACAGCCCTACTGGTTACCTTTACATCTGCACATGCTGTTCTTAAAAGGAAGAGTTCTCATTAACAAAAATGTTAACAGCATACAATTATGTGATCTTATTATGCTTATTTTTTTTTTTTTATATATACACATACACACACACACACACACACACACACACACACTACCCTATATATCAATTTATTAATTATAATTTTAAAAGTTAAAGTTACAAAGAGAAAACTGTAACTAATGTTATGTCAAACACACATGCATGCATACACTTTTTTGTAATAATGATGTTTCACATCAATATTGTATCAGTACAGTTTAGGATACAGTTTTCATCCCCTTTTTTGCTTTTTGGAGGTCCAGGCATGTTCAGTAAAACTAGCTGGGCATCTTGTGACTTATTAAGTACTACTCCATTGAGCTTCACAGCAGTGTGCATTCTTCTGACATTTGTCTGATTCCTAATATAGAAAGCAAACATTAAGTAAAAATATTTTTGCATCCAATAAGTAGTTTGGTTTGTTCAGCATATACTACAGGTTTGTGAAAGAATGAGTTATTTAAGGGTAAAACTTAGAAATTAGTTTGCTGTGACCTATAAACACAAGGACTTATAATAGATTATAGGTACCTATAAACCATCAAGCACAATTTTGATGGTTTATTAACAGAAGAGACATATTTTGAACATAAGACAGGTTATATAATTTTCTAACACAAAATCTAACAAGAACTACTATCAGACCAATTTTTTTGTAAGGCAAGTTTTAGCCAAGGAGACAGAAGAACACAGAAAGGGCTTTCAACACAGAATAAAGACACAGAACTTAACTAGAAGCACTGCAAAATGGACAATAGCAGGATTACAAGTACATAGTACAATTTCCTTCAACAGCCTTGGAAAGTCAAAGTCTAAGATAAATGTCTATGGTAGTATAAAAAAAAAAAAAAACTTAAAATGAAATTCAGTTTATGAGAAACTGAGAAAGTTGTTAGCTGGACAAGTCATTTTTTCAGTTTGTCTTAGCACATTATGCCATTGTTTCTTCATGTTGTTCATCTGTCTCAGGAAATAGAATCATGCAGACAAGCTTCTCAGTTCATTAGCATGAAAGGGCACAGGGAAGACAGACAGACTTGGTACACATCACACATGCAGTACTCTAGAAATCATTTTTTTCTGGTTACAGTAAAATTTATTAGACATCTCAGATTATTCTTGTTAGAATGTTCTGTGCCTCCCTCCAAGTTCTCTGGAGAACAAAAATGACTTCTGCTTATGCAGAAGATAACTATAAAGAGGACTCATGGATGTCATAGGGTACCTTACATACATGCCTGAAGCTTGCTAGTTAACATGCGTCAGGGCAGACTATTAATAGAGTCTCCTGAAGTGCGCTAATTAGCACGCTCCAGCAGCCATACTGTCATGTGTATTCAGCACCCCCACTCTTCACAATGGCTGCAGGGGCACTTTAAGTAAAGCTTGAACAAGCTTTAGTTAAAGTGCTCCCACTTTCATTTTGAAGCACAGGATGCTGAATACACAAGACATGATGGGTACTCTAATTAAAGCACCTCCCACCGCCCCCCACAGCACATGTAAAGATGATCATAAATACTTAGGAACATTCAGGCAATCTCTCTTTATTAGGCAATTTTGTGTTCTAGTGCATAATCTGTAGTCCAGATTCTGAACAGTTTTTGTGTGCGTGTGTGTGTGTGTGGGGGGGGAATATGGGGTGGTGGTTCAAGAACATGATACATTCCAACCTCATAGAGGGATATTTCAAAAGGAGGAACTGAGAAAGACTTGCAGACAGACTGAAAAACGTGCAGAGGACAAAGTGAGGAAGGTATTACCCAAGAATTTATTTAAGTAGCTGCTTCTTCCCCCATTCCAACCTAAAAGAAACTTTATTCCACTTCATTCCTGGGGTTGGTAAATGGACAAATGTTGTTGCAAGTGGCTCCAGGACTGTCCTCTACCACCACGCCTATCCCCTCTGACCCCTAAAGAGCTCCTCCAACACTTTGGAACCAGTACTTTAATAAGAGTAATATAAAGACTACCTGAAGTGATGTTAACCTTTACGAGTCTCTTCTATTGGGGCAGGGGAAGGGGGAAAGGAATAGAACTTGCCCTCACCCTTCCCCAGTGAGAAGTTCCTCTCAAGCTAACGTACAAGCCAAGCACCATATGGATCCCAGATTACAGGTACATGCCATTTTGAGAAAGGGCCAAGATATATTATTGTTTCAAATATTTTATTGATTCTTTGTCTCTAGTGTTGTTGTTGAAACACTAAAGGTATCAAAGATATGATTTTCAGGCCAGATCCAGCCCACAGAGCTTTGTTATCTAGCTCAGCACTGCCCACAGAGCCAAAAATTTGGTGGCAGGGCAAGTGGTGGCCTCCACCCATCTCACCAAATTTCTGGCCCACAACACAAGCTGGATCCAGAGTGCACAGTCACACCATCTGGCCTACAGGTCAGACATTTGGTGGCTGGACAAGTGGCAGGTCCCACAGCTCCAGGAGCCAAGACAATTTCCAGCTCAGCTGGCAGCCCTATCAGATAGACAATATAGACCCGTGTTCCAGTTCCAGTCCGTGGATCAGCTATACTCCTAATCTAGCCCATGGACGAGTCTGACATCCCTGCACTAGAGAAAGCCATCACTGACAATGAAGATCCACACAGTTTCATAGTATAGGCACAGTAACATCAGGTTTTAATGAAGTGACATTTGTTACACGATCAATCCCTTGAAAGCGCTCTACAGCTGTGCCCCGAAAGAAGTGCATGACTGCAGAGCGCTCTAAAAGTGCCAAATTGTGCGACAAATTAACCCTCATGTAACGAGGGTTCAGAAGATGATGCTCCAAAGTGGAATGCCTTCATTAACTTCTGTCAGTCCCTATGTGCGTGATCCAATCAGGGCTGGGCTGATGCAGCCCAGCTCTACCCTGGTGCTGTCTGCAGGAAAGAAGGGGGAGAAAGGTGGGGAAATGGGTGGATTGGCGCCCCCCAAGTTGAGGGGACTGGAACCCCCCATCCACCCCTCCAGCACAGGCTGGACCAACCCCAGCCCAGAGCTCCTTTCCCTTCGCTTCTCCCCACTCCCATCCTGTAGACAGCACTGAACCTGGGAGTGGGGAGGGGAGATGGGTACAGTTAGGGGAGAGAAGGTGCAGACAGATGGGGCTTGATTGCTTCTCTCCCCCTTCCCCCCACCCCACCCCACCCCACCTAACAGCTAAATGTCAGTTGGGTTGGAGAGCTGGGGAGGGAGAGGAGGGCGTTGCTCTAACTCATGGCACTTTCTGTAAGCATCATACATGTCAGCGCCCATTGTGTCCAAAGATTAATTGCATTGCAGGAAGATATTTACAAAATGCAGAGTCCAAATACACCTGGATCTCCTGTTGTCAAAAAAAAAGAAAAAGAAAAAAACCCCAACATGCTACAAATTAGCAGCGTCTCAAACAGGTGCACATGCACCACATGCAGTTTGCAGTGCCACAAGCCACACGTACATGCTGGTCAGGATGTGCCCTTAGTGTTCAAGTTATATTTGTTTTTTCTGTATATGGAATAGTTATAGGAACTCAGTGACTGATGGCTGACACTTTCTGAAACAAGGGAATAATTTGAACTCAACTTTTGGGACTTCCTGGATTTACAGAGTAGTAATTTGAGAAGGCTGTAGAAGAAAACAAGGGTAACAGAGGCAGAAATAAAAGTAGACTAAAACAGAGGCCAGCAATATTTCTGGCCAGTGGCTAGAATGACTCAGCTCATGCCTAATGCAGGCAGGCTCTAGGACCTGGCTACCTCCACTGCTTCTTCCTTCCACTTAGCTGTGGCACAGTATAGAGAAATCCCCTCTGCTGAAGCTTATGGCACCCAGCTGTTGCATGGTGCAGACAGAGCCCATTGCTACTGAATACCACCCAAGCCACAGCTTAGATCCAGCCCACTGACTGTAGATTGCTGACCCCTGAACTACAGCATAAATAATTATTGGAATAGGACCACAATCTAAAGGTGGAATCAATTTCTGGGAATATTCTTGATAGCTGATAGGCAGGTTTATTAAAAGGGGAGGGAGATGGGAAATCAAGTGCCAGTTCAAGACTTGTGACTTTGGAAACACAGAGGGCATCAACATGGCATAAGCACAGTGCTGGCCTGGACAGCTGATCTAGTTATGAATAGTATAGTAGGGGTGCACGAAACAGGCTCTATTCGATTCTGATTCAGCCCAAATCAAGGACAGTGATTACATTCATAATTCGGATTGCTGTCCCCGATTTGATTTAGCCAAATATGAATCTGATGATTCAATGTCGATTCAGAGAATTGACAATTCGGACACAGACAGCTTTAAAAGTTTGGTTGGGGGGTGGCGGGGGGAGAGGGGAAAGGGGGGGATTGGTTTTTTTCATACTGAGGTACCAGCACAGCTTGTGAATGCTGCAATG